AAACTTCGTGCATCGGACCCGAAGTTGAGGTCATATGGATCTCTGAAGGTTTCGGATCACACATCCGAGAACTTGGGGTCTAACTGCCGAAGTTCGGGTCAGACATCTGAAGTAATTAGGTATGCACTGGAGCACTCCAGATGTGTGACCCGAACCCTCTGGTATATACCGAAGTACTTCAGACGTCTGACTCGAACTTTGACGGCTGGACCTCAAGTTTTCGGATGGGTGATCCGAAAACTTCAGAGATCCATATGACCTCAACTTCAGGTCCCGCGCACGAAGTTTTTTTCTCCGTGTAGGTCATGGAGCTTTTAGGGCCCAAACGGGCAGCCAACTTATGAATTCAAATTATCCAGATTGATTTATCCTTACAAGTGTTTAGACCCGTAGTTTGTACACCACGTAATTGACTTGGTTTTAGCACACATTAACTCATTTTTTTGGAAGAACGCTCATTTATTAACATTCTTGGTCATCTTGGTCCGATATTGGAATCTAATGAGTGGCAATAATTTTAATTTATGATTTCTTTAAATTTCATCAACGCATATTTCGGATTTCATTCGGTTGAGCGAACTGGATCTAAAGAAAGGGAGGACGAGACAAGAAAAGGACTGGAATCCTATCCTTTAGTTGATGTAGTTGGAAAGTGAAAAAGTCGGGGGCCCAGCTGTAACGAGTAACATCGGTGCCTTTGTGCGGAAAAACAATGACGCGGGCTAATTGACAACTGGCTAGGGATGGAGGGGAGGGGAGGATGGAGGGGGAAGTGGCTGAACGCCCGCTGGATAATAGCTCGTTGTTAGCTCTGTCAGGTTCCGATTGTGCACGAACCCAATCGCCTGGCAAACGCTTTTTGTTTCAAAATTCGTCGCAACGGCGAGAAAATTGGCTTCATTGAGCATTGACAGCTTCAATTACGGCTCTCGGGTTGTCCAATCTTCCCTCGATTCAAAATCGTAACTTTTCATCGTTCGGTCGACTCTTTCTTGCACGCAAAGGTCTCTTTACTCAAGTCTCACCTGACAACTCCGAGGGTTTACAGCTCGATAGGCACAATTGGACTGCATTCATCAAAAAAGCCCAGATTCTTTGAGAAACTATGTGTATTTCCGGTAATTGTTCATCCGGGCATCCCGGAGGAGTCAATGAAGTATGGACCAGGAATTAGTAAGGGCTAATTTGGCCAAAAAAGTAGGAAAATTCAAATTAGCAGGTGATGTTAGGTGGTGCGCAGAATATGCTAGTGAATTGTTTTCTTTTGCGCCTTCATTTCACAAATTAGGCCAAAAACATTATTATGCATGTCCCAGAACAACCTTTTCAAAGATTCATGATTCTGTCTTCAACATTTCTCGCTTATCTAACAGGGAAGCTAAAGGGCGACACGGCGACAAGGTGCCAAAATTGAGCTTTCATATGCCACGGGAAGCATTTTAGGATCTGGAGGCTTTTTCTGATGAAAAATATCACCACATACACAACATTGCCTCTGGTTTTCCCTAAAACAAACTCTCAAAGTTGAGACCGCAACGAGGAGGATCCCTTACGTTATGTTGAGAACCGGTCAAACTCTCTGTGCACAGAAAGGCTACGAAAACATTAAGGGTGAACGTGGTTGCACCTTGAGAGTCCTTACAAAAAAAAGGCAACACTCCTAATATATTTGCGCCCTATCTGTGTGTAAAAAGTTTGACTGGATACAGAAGTGGTTTCTCACCATAACAAAGGCAATCCTTCCCCCTATTACAGTCTCAACTTTAAGATCTTTTTTGAGCTTGAGATTTTTCACAGAGAAAACCAGTGACGTCATCGTCTTGCTCGCGAAATTTTACTTGAGGCAGAAAACTTGACATGCAAGAACTCCATTCTGACGAAATGGTGGTATTTGTGTCCTTCCACCACACTTTGATTTTTTCGATGCTTAGATAATTAGAAAACAGGTAATTTCTTCATGATTAAATTTATTTTGGACGAATCAATGATACCTAATACTTTCCCCGTAGATGTGTAAAACTTAACTGGGGCACTGTCATACGGAGAATTAAAAGCGCTCTGTCATTTTTATCCTTGAAGTAAAACCCACAGTTTGCTCCGCACGCCGTGGGAGTGGGCCGCTGCTGGTGAGGTGAAGTGGTGAGTGCCTGGACCGTCAAAACGCCTTCATCTCCGTGTGTATGCAACACGGACATCCATGGAGCCCGAATAGTTGCATCCACGTGTTGTAATGAAATTCGTTCAGTGACAGATGCATGCTACACTAACTGAAGCTCGATTGTTTCTCTTACATCTGAATTTAATTCCACCGTTGCCTAGTGTGCCTATAAGTAAATCCTTTCTGATTTTTATCGCGACATTGCCAATTATTTGAGAAATACATTACAACGTCGCAGACCCTCGAAATTGTAAAAATTAGGCATTTGAGCATAATACAAAGAGTTTCCTTTAATGCAATTTAATGAGTCGTCCTATGTTTGGTTTTTTTTTTTTTTTTTTTTTTTTTTTTTTTTTTTTTTTTTAATCCCCCCCCCCTCTGGAAAACTAATTTTAACGCTCGAATGCAAAATTATCAAAGAACAGTCGAATGAAGCGATGAATCGCACGGAATTTGGAACAAACACGGGGACCATTCGTCTTTCAAAAAAATAAAATGCAAATCCCGTCACACCACAAGCCTACACTAACTTATATGATTTTGTGGGTTGAGTGACGGAACTGTAACTCAATAAAGTCTAGTAAAAATATTAGTGAAAATTATATTACGTTCTGCTCTTTCCCTCCTAAAGTATGGGCTATGTTTAACGCATGTTTAAGATTAGAAAAAAGATGTGCGGGTTTTTGAAGAATGGCCTATCCTCGGAGCGTCACAGGAAGCATCGTTAAATCTATTACCCATGAATTTTGTGTGGATTCAATTTTTGCTCAAAAATAAACTCAAAAATCTATCGGACTCCACGAATATTAGAAATCGTAGGGGAGTGCCAAAGACTAAGCATTTTTTGCATTCAGTTATGGTCCTCAATCCATGATAAACGACCGATACTTCCCGAATTTCATAAAGAATACGGATTTGAGCAAGTATTCAATAATCTGAATTATTCTTACATATTAAACCTTACCTTGGCAAACTACAAAATACTTTTTCCTACGCTGTGCTCGTTAATCTGTCAAAGTATGCCCACACTCACTTTTGCTCAGGATGAGAAATGCAATGAAATACGAATACCTAATAGTATGCGACGATAGTCAATATAGGAAGATTGATCTCCAGATTTTCCACTAATTTAGGTTTAGATTTACTGCCAAATCAAACAGCTAAAAATGTGTTCAGGTTACATTTGGGTCTCTTTGAGTTACTTTTTGTTGGTCGGATCAACCAAAAGCACTTGTCTCACAAAGAGTGTCCCAGAATCTCCACTAACGTTTCATCCGTTCTAATTAAAGCAAATATATAGAATGTGTAGAAACTTTTACTGAATATTCTTAATAAAGTCACAATGCTGAAACTGAAAAATTTCAGAAAACTCACCGAATATTTCCTCGCTGAAATATATAACTAAGCGGCGGAGATTCTGAGACACCGCAACCAAGAAACGCCCCTCCTGCACCCAACGCATCAAGTGTCAGTTACTTTTGATTACTGTGCAGTCGGTTCAGCATTCGGTTTTAATTTTCCGGAAACCCACTCTCAATCCTGTATTTTTCTGCGCCCATTGTTTATAGTTTTGTTCTCAATCAGACAACATGGGAAATATCCTCTTTCCTATCCTCTTCATCAGATCCTTTTTGTTATGAGGCTGGAGCATGCTGTTCCGCCTTTGAACATTTTACATGCGTCTTTGATTAAAACCATCGCCAGGGGGTGGGCGCGATTCCATCCTCGCGCTTTTTAGGCGTTATCGTTGAGAAACGGATACACTTCAGCCCATCAGCCTGGCGATAAACGTAAAGTATGCTCCGGCTCCACCGCATCCCCGCTACTCTGAGCACAGTTAGGCAAACATAAATCGACGATGCCGAGAGAGTAACATACCGTTACGTGTCATTCAACGACTTGCATTCGCGCGAAATATAATAACCTGTAATGCGTGGGTTCACGCCAAACACACTGACGAAAAAGTGGTTTCTCGGAGCTAAAAATCCCTCGAGGGATAAAATGGACTGCATTTTGCAATTTGGAACTATAAATTCTAGCTCATCTGAAAAAACGCTCACGTGCATAGGGAAGCTAATGGCACATACCTACGTTGTTTTTAAACCGGACCAGAATTTATAGTTCCAAATTGCAAAATGAAGTCCAAATGATGTCATCGTATAACACACTCAATATCACTTGAGAAGCTTGGAGAACAAGGCGCATGAGTGCAGTTTTTGAAAAATTTGAGTCACTAACGATTTCAATTAAAACCAGTCGTAATGAATTATATGTGAAAACTTCGCTCCCAAATTTCAATTTTCAAGTATCAAAAAGTCAGTTTGAACTCACTCCACGAGGATCCATGAAATTTTGAAACTTCAAACACGTATCTCTCGAACAAACAATAACTACACTTACGCGCCTTGTCCTCCAAGCCCCTCACTGCGTACACTTGATATCATTGTGATTATGTACGAAATTGTTTTATGTATTGTAAGTTTAAGGATAAACAAGGAACCACTAAACAAGGTACGAATATTAAATCAGGCCTTTTTCCTGCTCAGAATCAGAGCCACAGCCCAGGATTGGGCGCGACTCTGATCGCGAGAAAGCGCCTTCAGTTACCAAGCTACGCAACATCTCCAACAGGGAGCCACGAATTGTTGTAATACTGCTTTGTTGATAAATACGTCGCTTGACTCTATCCTCAAAAGTCTCCCTCTTCTTCTTTACCTCCTCCTTCCCCCCTCCTCCTCCTCCTCCATCTTCTTTTTCTTCTTCTCAATAGTCTAGTGGTCATCTGTTCCCATTTTTCAAATGTCTTAAACAACCAATCACTCATATCGTTTTCTTGTTCCAGGTCTTGATTTTGTGGAAAATGACGCGACTTTCGAACATGCAGTTACTTGTGCTGGTAAGTTGACGTTTTTCAATGGATTATTAGTTTAATAAGGCTTAAGCTAGGTTTCCTAACCCCAATTACCTGACTTGAGAAAAAACAAAGAGGTTAAGTAATAAGATTCGTCGAATGAAAACAATCGTGATGAAACAACGTGAGGAGAAATTTCATTTATGAAGAGGCGGGGATGTACGAAAATATTTTCCCGAATGGGATGGAAAACGAATACCGATGACGGAGCTTGCCGATGAGGATTGGCCCCACTGGCGTATTTTGTCATTCATAAGTCGATGTTAAATGTAAAAAAACTACATGTTTCTATTGCAACATTTCGGAGTCTTCGTTGATATTTCATTTCTCTAAAAAAGATAATAATGAACTCCATCATCTGAAATTTTACCAGAAAAAGTGTTTATGATGTAGAAAAATCAATAAAAGTTCCAAATTATGGTGTTCAATAGTTCCGTTCTGAAAAATAAAATGCAAGAACATATATCTGTAGCGTCGCAAATCGAATCACTTGTTTTTCGACTTTCATTGTCGATGTTTAATACGTCGATCTATGACAAATGTCTGCATTTGTTTGTCTAGTTTTCCATCGAAAAAATGAATTATGACAGGAAGTCTGAAATGTCTCTAACGGAAATACGTGGTTTTGCACTTTGGTCATCGACTTTACCAATGAATCTCCCGTTAATCATTACGATTAGCTTTTATTTGCAGGGCCTGCACCCACGCCATTCTATATGTATTTCATAGTATTCAGAATCAGAGCCGGATTTACCTACTTGCCGCCCATGGGCCGCCTGTATTTTGCCGCCCCCTTCTCATTCGTATTGAAACATCAATAAAATCCATCAAGTGAACCTGCCAGCGGTGGAGGGGTGCATAAGACGCGTTTACTCGTGTTGAACACATTTTTTGGGGATGCCCTGTCAACACTACTGGCAAAAGTTAAGTTTTGAAACATATTTCTGTGTGGACAAGGCCTTCCATTCATAAGAATTGAACGAAAACGCTATGAAAGAACAAACATGAATGTGGTTTAATGATTTTAACTTCCGCCGCCGCGCCGCGCAGACCGCACCGTGTTCGGCGCAACGCGTGAAGTATTCACGCAGTCTTGTAGGCGCCATGCGTTTCACGCTGACCGCACTGTGTTTGGCGCAATGCTTGAAGTATTCATGCATTCTTGTAGGCGCTATCCGTTTCACGCTGACCGCAATGACCGCACTGTGTTTGATGCAATGCGTGAAGTATTCGTGCAGTCTTGTAGGCGCTGATATGTGTTACATGCCGATCGCCGCGCCAATGCATGGCTTCTCCTTTTCATCTCAAGTCCTCGTCATCATTGCGCTCTGCGCCGCGCCGTTCCAGGCAAAATTGCGTGTTTGGTTTCTCCCTTAACTCGACTAATTAAAGGTGGTCTCTTGTATCACTGAAAGACGACAAAATTAAAAATAACTACACTCTCAGGAAATGAGAGATTTTGTCGCCTTTTCTCGTTTGTAATTTTTTTTTTCTGAATCCGATATTTTTTTATACCTACATTTAAAAAAATTGCAAAATTTGCCGCCCTCTAGATTTTCCACTATGGGCCGCCGCCCATGTGGCCAACCCCTTAATCCGGCCCTGTTCAGAATCAATTATGGCTACATACATGTTCCTGTGTTTCTAATGAATCTTATTTTTCATTTCCAGAATTTGGTAAATTTCACTACTTCTTGCTGGCGGTCTGCGGTTTGATTTACGCCGATCTTGCAATCGGAGTCACAATCATATCATTCGTGCTCCCTTCGGCAGAATGCGACTTCCAGCTCACCTCACAGGACAAAGGATGGCTCAACGCAGCACCCATGTTCGGTAAATTAATGACTTAAAACTTTTCTTATTTTTCTTGTCCGTATTCTATATGGTGAAAGTTTCTTATAATGTAAAACTTAATCTTGAAAGTAATCTTGAGACGAGGAATTTTTTTGGGAGGGGGGGGTCACTGAAAGGCACCTCATCAAAAGGGGCCTGGAGGGCACAGAAATGTACCACACTAATAGAGCCCCCCCCCTCCCCCCCGCTTTTCCCAGTTGCAAAGAGGGTCCGGGGAATTCCTCGGAATTTTTGGAATGAGAGATCTTTAAGGAGTTATTTTGAGCTATTCTCGCCGAAAAATTCAATAAAAAGGCGTATGAGGCTCTTCAGTGTCGCTAAAATTGTGAAACGTAGTTCTTCAATTACTATATAGTAACCTATCCAAAAGCTCTCTGTGAATTATTTCTGAATCTGCTCCAATTCTGTATCTACAATTGTGTTGGCTGTAAGTCGGCTGTGGATGAATCTTATTTGCTGCAAATTATATTAAAAATTGCACGCTCTTAGCAGCATTAGGTACGCATTTTTGCGGATAAGAATTCATAGTTTTACACAAGTTTCATGCATCATACGCCTTTTTAGCGGATGAGAAGTCCTCGACTGCTTGAATCGTAATTTTAAAGATGACAGAAATAAAATGTCATGCACTGGAAAAAAAAACACATTGGATCTAGAGTCCAGACTCTTGAAAACATTGACAAGAAAAAGGACTCTTGATTCAATCAGATTTAAGCTTAAATCAAAAGGAAATCCGCTCAAATTAAGAGGCTTGGTTCTTGATTTAAGCTTAAATCTGATTGAATCAAGAGAACTTTTTCTTGTCGATGTTTTTTAGAGTCTGGACTCTAGATCCAATTTTTTTTTTTTTTCAGTGTGCTCTTATTTTGCTAGCTTTTTTCACGATTTCTGAGACGGGCCGAGTACATTTGTGAGAGGGGAAGGGCCTTGGCCCCTTCATCGTTCCACCAATACTCAAAATACTCAAAATTGCGTAAATTACTATTATAACACCGAAAGAAAGTCACTGGCGTATATCACTGAGAACTATCCGTATGACACAAAAAATCTGTATTTCTGCCCAATCTCTACTTCGATTTAATTTTAAATTTATTTATTTATTAATTTTATTTTGAAAAATACTTTGAATTGTAGTTAATGATGCATGCCTCGGACGGTCTTAGTAACAACGGCTGTACAAATACCATTACCAAAAGTAAATTTAACGCTTGGGTATAAAACCGAACGGCTCGGAGCGTGTCCCCAGCTTAATTATTTCCTTCCCCCATCAAGTATATTATTTTATTGTAAAATAAACTCGCACTGCGATTGAAACTCATGGATAGTGAAGAAAAAATAAGTAATCCTAACATATGAAAAGTAATATTTTTTTTCTTCTATTCTTTTTTCCTTGATAGCTGAGCGGAAGTTCAAGTTTAATTGTGCTCCCTAGTAAAGGCTCCGTTCCTCGCGCGGCCATTTGTGGTTTCTCTTATTCATCACTGTCGGCGAACGGTTGCCAAACATAAGAATAAATCAAGCTTAGACAAGCCTATTGTAGCATGACAACCAAACGTTCAGTGCTTAAAAATGTTCCCTCCTTTCAGGAAAACCACAAAGAGCAACGCAGCGCTCTATGAAGAAACTGCCTGCATTTTTTGAAGAATTCTCAAGATAAAACGTTATTTTTTTCAATAATACATTTAGCTTTCAAATGTATGTAATATAGTTCTTGATTTAAAGGTATCAGAGGGAGAAGTTTTCTTAGACTTTCTGTCTTAGGTAGACTGAATTGAATGTGGAAAGTCATTTTTCATTTGCTATAGCTGCGGGTTTGATTATTTGATAAAAATCGATCGAATTTTGTACACGTCGATGGCAGACAGTAATGACCGTCAATTTGCAAGCGGCATTCGTGTTAACTCGTAATAATTTGCACCGACGTAATGAAGGGTTCATTGTTAAAGAACTTCAAAAATACGGCTACGGCTAAGAATGCCTTCAGTTTTCTAAGATACTTTCCGCATTGTAACGCAGTTAGTTTAGTTGCCTATCCGAACCGAACCGAACCGAACTAGAGTCACTGATTTCACCACACGCAAGTGCGAGTGTCCTTGTTTGCACCATGCATTTACTTATTGTTCCTTCACTACATACTGGTAAATAGCCCAGTTCATAATCTTTGCAATTGGTGAAAATGTAATGCTTAATACCGTCAGTGACACTGTAAAGGTCTAAAATACGAGAACCAATCAAAAATGGCTCCGCACAGTCTTTATTTTCAGTATAAAGGGAATCTACTCAATTCTATCGTGCTAAGGAAGTATGAGCTTTTAGGAGTTTCTAAATTTCCCTTAATATAACATTAATCTTTGAAGAAAGTTATGAATACTCTTTCTTAAAATTTGACCATACTTTAAATTAAATGGACTGCATTTTGCAATTTGGACCTATAAATTCTGGCTCATCTGAAAAAACACTTATGTGCATAGAGAAACTAATGGCTTATACGGTGTTTTTAAGCCGGGCCGGAATTTGCAAGTCCAAATTTCAAAATGCAGTCCAAATTGCGAGTGAAATTGTCTGAAAATTGGAGGAAAAACGTCCAACTGTTTCCTTGAAAATTTGTATTTCATCGAAAGAATTTTGGCAACGCCTGAAGGCACATGCGGCGTTTTGCCTCTAGCACGGCAGCAATTCCTCACGTAACCCGCGGTCGCTATCGAAGAATCGGAGTTTTTCCGAGAGAAGCGGCAAGGAGGGAGTGAGGTCGGAGAGAGTAACAATAAGTAACAGCTGTACAAAAAGCGGTGCGATTAACTGCGGATTCCAGGGGCTTACGATTAATTAATGCTCTCATTCGCCAGCGACAATGGTCAATTCAATCCCATTGGTGGGGAGCGCGGCGGTGGGGTTGCCGGGGGAGGAGTGGGGGTGGGAATTGCACTCACGTCACAACCGCATCGTTTCAATTATAAATATTGCGTAATTGACTGGATCGACGAGCAATGAGCATCGCCCGATGATTTCTGCATGTCCCGCGTCGCGCGCGCTCCTGACCTAAATCCACCGGGACCAAGACCCTCTCCGAGGAAGGCGCCCAGGGTCAAATCCCGAGAGATTTCGGAGAGTTATCAAAGGAATATAATGAGATGCGCCCAGTTAAACCATCTTTTTCAACAGCGCAAGGCTAAATTTTATGACACTCCTCAAAATAATCCGAACTTTGAGGCTGGGGAAGGTCTTGAACTCATGAGAAATTCATGAGAAGACACCCCCATGGCAGGAGCAAAAAAGTGCCCTCGGTAGGGGACCCGTATCCCTCCAATTTTTAAGTTTAGTCCAAAGATCTTTTAGTAACTTAAATTAATGACTCAGGTGGTGTTTCGTGTCAACTTTCAAAGGATTAAAGGGATTTTTTCAAAATCTACAGTCCGTCAAAGTGAGCTTTCCGTGTGATTTTGCTAAGAATTTGGTTTGGCCCCTAGCCCCCCCCCCCAAATTTTAGCGTATGTGCAAAAGGAGACCATAGATATGGCGTTCTCTGCAAATTTTGAATGAGATCAAACGGATAGATTCTGAGGTATCGCTGTAGACAGTTTTGGGGGACGCCGGACGGACGAACACACATTTTTTCAAGTATGGTTATCATGACTCCATGGACCTTAAAACGTCTAGAAATTATGAAATTGCAACTTTTTTTTTTCTTGGAAGATGACAATACAGCCTCTACCCTAGGGGAGCGAGGAGAAAGTAAAAACGCAACTGGGGTTTTTAGCAAAACATAAGGTCTGGTTTGCATCCCAGTATCGAAGATTGCTATATTGGTAAAACGGTAAACTTATTGCTACTGCATTGGAGTGTTGTGTATGTTGCCTATCACCCGATTGAAGGGGCATTTCCTGGTGAAATTTATTACAGTGAAATTGCAGCATATTGCAAATTGCCTATCTTTCTGACGTGTGGAACTCGTTTTAGGGGTGATTCAATCATCCAACCATCTACAACGACGAACATCGTGTCTTAACTGGAAATTCAACGCAGATCACTAAAAATTGGACGTATTTGATTTCAGGGATGCTACTAGGTTCCTATTTTTGGGGATGTCTAGCCGACACTCAGGGTCGAAAAGTTGTTCTAGTGGCAGCTCTCCTGATGGACGGTATCTTCGGACTGCTCTCCAGCATATCTCAATTCTCCAGTCTCTTCATGGTCTGCCGATTCTTCAACGGATTCGGGTGAGCAGTTTACCTTTGAATTTTTTTATAGTATGAGCGACATGCGAGTATGAGGTCGTCCCTCAATTTCGTAACGCTCGCTGGCGTAAACGCGTTAAGTAGCACTGTCTTTGCCAACGTTACGCGGCGTCACAGGGTACAGTGGTCAGAGGGAGGTATAAAACACAGCGTTACGTAATAACGAGTTTACGTGATTTTTTTTTTCGAATTTCTGTAGAATTTTTCGTCGGTCGTCTGTAGAAGTCTTGAAGAATCTCGAAATTATTCAAATTATTCTTCAATACTTTCACTTCTCCTCACTAAACGGAAACGCCAATCCGTTCAGTAAATTTAGGGTGATGTTTAGATTATCTTATTTGTGCACGCGCATCAATGTTGAAATAATGTGACACCGAATACAAGAAACATACAAAACATAAATATTACTTTTAAACCGATGCCTACGAAGCTTTAATGGCGGCTGTCAGGCTTGTTGAGATTATCTTCTCTCGTCAATTGACTGCTTTAGGAGGAAAAAGGTCCCTCAAGCCCCCTCAAGCCCAAGCCCCTGAACCCTCAAGCTCTCACCCACTTGAGCTTCAAAGGCAAAACAGTAAGGTTACATCCAAGTGGGAAGAGACATCTCATTTCTGATGATATTTTTAGATTCATTACTTATCTCGTTCTATTAAAACTCAACATTGATACCTTGTCCGTTTAAAAATATTTTATTCTCAGTTACGTGTTAGGTATTTTTTATCGCAAGTAATAAACTCTTATTGATGCGTATTGGACCTTCTTCATTTAGGTTTTCATGGTTAAAAATGAAAAATTTCCCTTAAATACCCTCCCGTAAATGCAACCAAAAATGTTTAACCGAGTGTAATCCAAAATTTTTAGGGGGAAAGAAGTCAACTCTATTATTTTAAATGTTTGGGAAAAATAGCAGGGAAAAAACCCAGCCCTGATGGAATTGCCTCAACTTTTTGTTAATTTACATTTTTTTTTTTTTTTTTTTGACACATAACGCAGCTGGCTCTACGCTAGCTTCATATACTGAATAAACATACTAGATACTAAAAACGAAAAAACAGCATTTGCATTAGTCCATTCTCCTTGAGAAAGGTTTTGAATGGACATTTTTTATGTCACAAAAATGTTGGTAATTCATATTTTTTTGTTTTTTACTGAATCACAGTGAATCTTGCGGAGGGCATTTTAGAACACAAAGAGGAATTAGAAAAATTGGTCTTTTTTAGATGATTGTGGTCCGTTTCTGTGAGTTTTTGATGATGTTTGGAGGGAATCACCCCTTTTCCTGTCAAGGAAAATGACGTTCGTCTCATTCCTGCCTCCTTTTGAAATGACGCGCACATAAGAGTTGTGTAACATCAATTACTGGACACATATTCTCATACATACATATCTACATACATATTTAATTTTTGTCTTCAAAAATGTAAACTATAATGTGGAATGTAACTCATAACTCACAACAGTGAACATAACTCATTGTCTAAATTTATATTGGTCCTGTTTATAGAATAGCCGGAGCAATGGGAATCTGTTTCCCTTACCTCGGAGAGTTTCAACCGACAGAATTCAGGGAGAAAGTTCTTAGCTGGATGGAGTTGTTCTGGACCTTCGGAATCATCGCATTACCAGGTGACACTCTAGAGATTTTATTTAAAGCAAAAATGATACCTTGATAGATGGAAAGGGCAAAGAGAGAATATTTCGGAAGGTATCATCTCATCCCATTTTGCACGTAGATTGGACATTCGTAACAATGCTATCCCTTGTTCCAAAACTTCAAGTAGTTTGTATGGTTACGAACATTTAAAATTTTACTATCCTTGAATTAAAGTTCTCCTCAATGGTCGACAGTAAGGACAAAAAGTCTAAATAGAGGAAAGTTATTTGAAACAACCCAAATATCGATGGCCATGAGTGAAACCACATATCTCCGTTTGCGACATTGCAAACTCCGTGTCATACTTTATTTTCTTCTTCAGAAGAATAGTTAACGTAATTTCTTAAAAACTTATTTGATTTTTCATCTCCGTAAACAGAATATTCTATATTTCCAAGTTGTAAAGTTGGCTCGTTTTTCTTCGAAGAACAAATTAGGCGCACAAATTTTGAAACATCACAACGGACTCCGTTGAACGGAGACACGAGGTTTCGCACTTTAACCATCGATATGAGATTCGGAGTGAAAAGCTATTTCACATTAAAGTTCCTTTATACTAAGAGAGTAAAGACAATGCGAATTCATCTCTGATTGGTTCCCATATTTTAAGCCTTCACAGTGTCACAAACGGGAATAAAGATTGTACATTTTCACCAATAGAGAATTTACAGGTGTCTAAAATTTGACGAATTTCGTGTTTAAATGGAAATTACTTAGTGAACTGAACACGAGGCTACCCTTGGTTCATGAATTGAACAATTATTTTAGAAGATATGACAAAATGATCTAATCTGCTAAAATAAGGGGTGTTTAAATGGGAAATGCCGCCAGATGACGTCACTAAGCGGTGCATTTTTTCACTTTTAAATCTATTCTTTCACTATTTCCCACATCAGAAAAAATTATAAAAAATACTGTGAAATCAGCTCTTTAAGCACTTTCAGATGAAGCAATAAAAAAGCTGCATGCAAATTCTCCATTACAAAGATTTTAAACTGGAAAGGACAGGGATATTGGGGGTACGGCAAGGAACAAACGGGATGAGAGAGGGAATAGTGGCAGGAATTCGGGAACGGGTTGATCTAAGATTACAAAAAACGTCCGATTTGTGTAATCTTTATTCCCGTTTGTGACTCCATAAGCCACGTTATTTCAACTCCCTCTGTAAAGGGACTCTAGTTCACATTAGAGTCCCTTTATACTGAGAGTCAAGACAATTCGGCTCATGGATGTCACAAACGGGAATAAAGATTACAGAAATTGAACGTTTTTCGTAATCTTTGATCGGCCCATTCTCAAATGCCTTTCTCCGTTCCTCCTCTCACTCCGTTTGTTCCTTGCCGAACCCGTAATTCCCTGGTCCATTCCAGATTATAATCTTTGCAATTGGTGAAAATGTAATCTTTATTCCCGTTTGTGACACTGTGGAGGCCTAAAATACGGGAACCAATCACAAATGGATTCAAATTGTCTTGACTCTCAGTATAAAGGGACTCTACTTCACATAATGGGTGCGCTAGCTGTTGGCACGGTAGCAATGAGAGATCCGCCGCGGAATGCGCCGTGACCCTTATTGAAAGGATTTTGAGAATTATAGAGGAGGGCGGTGGCGCGATGGACGTCGACTCCGAGGGCAGTGTGAGTGTGGCAGTGTGAGTGTGGCAGTGGCAGACCCAAGTTCAAACGTCGCGTCCGACGTCCGACGTCCGAGCCTCCGGTATAAATCACGATGGACGCATGTATTGTGGCGAGAGCTGTCACGGGAAAATCCGCGGACAGTCCCACGGCTCTACGACAAGTGGCAAAGACCCTTCCTTGTAATAATATTTATACTCGCCGACTTGAAAGCCGTCCACAGGTGGTCGATACCAGACGCGAATGTTGTCAAGTATACTAGAGTCCCTTTATACTGAGAGTCAAGACAATTTGAATCCATTTCTGATCGGTTCCCGTATTTTAGGCCTCCACAGTGTCACAAACGGGAATAAAGATTGTACATTTTCACCAATTGCAAAGATTATAATCTGGAATGGACCAGGGAATTACAGGTTCGGCAAGGAACAAACGGAATGAGAGGAGGAACGGAGAAAGGCATTTGAGAATGGGCCGATCAAAGATTACGAAAAACGTTCAATTTCTGTAATCTTTATTTCCGTTTGTGACATCCATGAGCCGAATTGTCTTGACTCTCAGTATAAAGGGACTCTAAAGTATACCACTGTCAGATTTTTACAGGGATGGATTTCCAATGGAGATCTCGCCTTTGGAAAATCCTAACGGAGAATAAAAAGTCACTGGCAAGGGTATCAGTACCGAAGTAGTATGGATTGCAATAACTTGCAATTGCATAGTGAAATTATAGCTACTACATGAGGGTGTTGTGTATGTTGCCTATTTACCAATTGAAGGGGTACCGCTCATTGAAAATCATTCCAACGAATATGGAATAAGTTGCAAATTTTTCTTTGGATTGAAAACTGTCCATCTTTCTCATCTGGGGAGGTCATCTTATTGATCGATTAAAAGCTGTATTTATTGACCGATTGCTGGAGAAATATTGCAATTTCATGGCAAAAAATTTGATTGTTTTATTGCATTAAATTGCAATTTTATTTCAATATTTTCATCGCACTGAGCTATTTTTGTGGCAAGGATATTAGTGCTTAAGTAGCACAGATTTCCATGAATTTCAAATATATGGTAAAATTAGTGCCAATGCATAGGAGTGTTGTGTATGTTGCCTATCTACTGATTGAAGGGACGCCTTTTACTGGGAAATGTATTGCAATTAAATTAAGTCGCACAATTAATATTCCTTTGCTTTCCCAATCGCTTACTTTTCTGATACATTGTGCTTATTTTGTTGATCGTTCGAAAGCGGCAAGTGGCAAAATGATAAAAATATTGCAATCAAGTGGTAAATAAAAAATATTTCAATTTTTTTGTATCAAGCTCCACCTAAGTATAATATGATGTGTTAAACACTCGATGTTTCCCCCAAAAAATGTCATATAGTCGCAATTCCTCTGTTTTGAGCCAACAGCGTATCTGCCGGAAAATTTCGTTTGATTTTCAGAATGAGGACAGACGATCGTCCATAAACTCTCTTTAATCAATTGAGACCAAGGAAAGTGAGTTCGTAAAAAAAATTAACATGTGCTAAGATTCCAACGACACGAAACAAAAACAGATTCGATTATATTGGATTGTCTTAAGAAAACACCTAAGCACAAGGATTTGCCGTAAATTTCACATTATGCGTAATGCAGTTGAAAATCAATGATGATTGAAATCAGGGAGCACAAGGATTGGCGACTTAAGTGATTGGATCCACTGAGGCCCACATTAATCGCCACTGCTAATTAAAATTTTTTTCTTCAACTCTTCTATAAACGGATCTCTTTTGCCTGCGCAATGCAGTCTTCACTTTTAATAACAGTCATTATTTGAAACTGAAGTAAAGACATCCAGCGTCGAGCCGGCCTTTTAATGATTCTTATTGTTCCTAATACGGCAACGCATAAAAGCCACCTATGTTCAACTTTCAAAGCTCAATTCTGAAGGTGATACCATGGCAGGATTAAGATATTGAAGTCGGTTGAGCCCCGCGCTTGGCTGACTTTAATTCAGCGTTCTTTCCTAGTAATAATTGTATCAATTACCCAAGTAGCACAGTGCAACGAATATATTAGAAAAATCCCACAATGCAAGGCAATGAAATTGAAATTTTTTCAACCATAAAATTGCAATATATTTACATCATTTGGTCAATTTATGCCGATTCTAAACAATCAGCAAAATGACTTCCATCTGTAAGAAAGTTAGGCAGTCAGCAATTTTCAACTTATTTTAATTTAATTTTAAGAAATTTCAGAAAGTAGCCCCTTCAATTAGTGAATAGACAACACACACAGCAATTCGATACAATACGACGGTGAAACTCACCAAAAATAAGTGCCAAGAATAGTTCAGCTTTGCAAAAATCAAACGCAACCAAAGATGTAGAAATGTCGCTGATTAACGACTATAACGTCGGAACGCCGCACAATGGAATAAATCAATCGGAGAAGTCGAACAAAACGTGGAAACCTCAAAAGTTTGTAACTCCGTTCGCATTGGCGGATCCAGAAATTTGGCAACACCGGATTTCCTCCATTTAAACCCATGGAAATAAAATAATGTATCGATTCTTGGAGGGGTCGGGTGCTCCGACAAGAATCGATTATTTAGCATGGGTTTAAATGGAGGAAATCCGGTGTTGCCAAATTGCTGGACCCACCTCTATCCGTTCGTTCGAAACTTTAAGGGTTTAAAAGTGGTCCCGTTTGCGTTGGTTCTCTCGTGAAATTGGACGTATTTATGCTTTAAGAAACCAGAGACAGGTGAGAAAGAAGAAGGGTGCTCATTAGCTGGAGGCTGTAAGAGTGAATGGGAACTGAAAACGCCCGTGACGTGTTGCCAAAAGTGATCACGCCCTATTCTACTTTGTATTTTATGCAGCTTGCTCGTGCACACCCCATCTTTCCGACACGTCTCTAGTTGTGGCGTCCAGAACCAAAACTGATTATCTCCATTGCCTTATCTGTAAATTTTGCAATCATAGTAATTTTTTACGAGGGGCAACCAAAACCTTTGGCTTTTTTATAACATTTTTCTAAATTGTCTCGCTTCATAACAGAAAACTCACAAGAAAACTTGAACGTGGAGGCTTCCTAGTTCTTTCAATATTAAAAGTATAGCAATTGCACATTTTTTAGACACACCGGAAAAAAACACATTGGATCTAGAGTCCAGACTCTTGAAAACATTGACAAGAAAAAATACTCTTGATTCAATCAGATTTTTGCTTGAATCAAAAGGAAATCCGCTCAAATTAAGAGGCTTGGTTCTTGGTTTATGCTAAAATTGAATCAAGAGTATTTTTTCTTGTCGATGTTTTTAACAGTCCGGACTCTAGATCCAATGTATTTTTTTCCAGTGTAGGGCAATTATGGAGATTGCCGGTTTTAGGTTCGAAGCGCCTCAGTTCCTTACAGCACAAATCAGCCTAATTTTCTTTATGAACCATCTAAAATTTAAAATTTGATACGATAAGCATCAAAATTTGCGGTTTCTGTAAAACGATTCACGTGCGACCTCTCTCATCAACTGGATCCTCTGTGCGCCGGGTAACGGCGGAACCGGAACTACTGTGACGTCACGAATCAGATCCGCGGAGTTCCGATGGGAGTGTCCTGAGAGGATCCAGACCGGGCGCCCAAGGTGCCACGCACGTACCGTGTGACACAATGTTTACATCTTGTTTAATTTATTCGCCAGATCCGATTCATTGACATCTCATTGTGCTAAAGGTCCGAGGTCGCTCTTGAAACTTCTTGAAAAACGGGTCCGTAAATCCGATTTGATTTGATTGGTTTATTGGCCTCTCCGCTTCGGCCATGTCCGCGCGCATTGTCACCGTCCTAATCCACGTACCATCAATTTACTTTGTCTCGGCAGAGTCTTGCGACTCCGTAGACCTTTGATTTATATCCTCAAGTGCCTCCTGATATACATTTTTGCCGATAGGTCTCTACGCCCAATATTAATAGCACCCTTGGAAACATTAACGTGTGATTGATGAATTGCATTGCATATCTGCCGCGGTAGTGCACCTGATTGCTCTTTTTACCTTGTGGTATAAGCGAATTCTGGTTGAAATATTACGGGAGACTAACCTAGACTACCGTGGTAGCAAAAAGAGCCGTACCTTTCAAGTTGTCGAAATCGAGTTTCCCTCAAAATTCGCCTAATCTCTTGATGAAATCACAGAAATAGCCAGGGCCGGATTTACCTAATTGCCGCCCATGGACCGCCTGTATTTTGCCGCCTTTCTCATTCGTATTGAAACATCAATAAAAACCATCAAGTGAACGTGCCAGCGGGGGAAGGGTGCATAAGACGCGTTTTCTTGTGTTGAACACATTTTTGGGGGATGCCCTGTCAACACTACTAGCAAAAGTTAAGTTTTGTAAACCTATCTCTGTGTGGATAAGGCCTTCCATTCATAAGAAATGAACGAAAAAATTATGAAGGAACAAATATGCACAATGTGGTTTAATGATTTTAACTTCCGCCACCCCGCCGCGCAGACCGCACCGTGTTTGGCGCAATGCGTGAAGTATTCACGCATTCTTGTAGGCGCTATCCGTTTCACGCTGACCGCAATGACCGCACTGTGTTTGATGCAATGCGTGAAGTATTCGTGCAGTCTTATAGGCGTTGATATGTGTTTACATGCCGATCGCCGCGCCGATGGCTTCTCCTTTTCATCTCAAGTCCTCGTCATCATTGCTCTCTGCGCCGCGCCGTTCCAGGCCAAATTGCGTGTTTGGTTTCTCTCTTAGCTCGACTAAATAAAGGTGCTGTCTCTTGTATCGCTGGAAGACGACAAAATTAAAAATTACTACACTCTCAGGAAATGAGAGATTTTGTCGCCTTTTCTCGTTTGTAATTTTTTTTTTTCTGAATCCGATATTTTTTTATACCTACACTTAAAAAATTGCAAAATTTGCCGCCCTCTAGATTTGTCGCCATGGGCCGCGGCCTATGTGGCCACCCCCTTAATCCGGCCCTGGAAATAGCTAAAGAAGCAAAATTTGTCTTAGTTTTATGAAAATGAGACGTATGAGAATGCCGTAAGTGTACAAAAAATGACGTAATTTCAGAAAAGCCAGTCGTAACTAGCATTATTACTCCAGAGAGTCAATGAAAACAGCTTTTAAGTAAAAATGCCTCCCTTTCCTGTCAATTTCTAACGTGAATATGTGTTTGTTGTGTGTCCAAAACTCAACCTTAAATGTATGCGGCAGACAGCCTTCATGGCCGCGGCCGCCTTGTCTAACAATATAGCCTAACCTGAAAAGGAATAATATCCTTTATGATTGAAATAAAATTGGTCAAATTACAATTATCTAAACAGTTTCTGAGAGTCTTTTGGATAATGGGTGGCAATTTTACAAAAAACAGAGGCTTCTTTCAATAAAATCTTCCGCTCTTATACTACTGAGCCCATTTTCTCAAAACTTCATTATTGCATTGCGGCTCTTTTCACTACAATCACGGCAGTAGAATGAAGCGTTCTTTTAGGGTGTGCGCTAGTCGCTCTCGCGCAGTGCTATTTTGCCTCTTCGCATTCAACTTTCGATGTAGGCCAGAAAACATCCCCGAGAGTATTTGATGCTTGCCTTGCAGTGAATAGAGTACGTAGAGTCGTACTGTAAATGGGAGAGCTGGTGCCACTTTTAAAATTTTCCAGGTCCCGAATCCCGAGACTCCTGTGTCACGCCGGGTCACTTTTTCGATGCATAATCGATTGTTTTCGATACAAGGGGACCCGGCAAATCGGCGTAAACAAAGAGGATATGAATCACCACGTTTTCTACATGTATATTTTAGATCGAAAATCTATTGAAAATGTATCGAAAAAGTTACCGAAGCTCGGCGCACACCGGGCTCGGAACTCCCATCTACTTTACGACTATGTGCTCTATGGTGACATGGCTCTATGGCCTCTGTCATTGTGGATTAAAATTTAAGTTTTTTTAAATTTTTTGTTGATGTGTAAAAATATGAGGACATTGTTGCAGGTATCGCGTGGCTGATCATCCCGCTGCCGATCCTGTTCCAAGTGCCGCACTTCAAGTTCGCCTCGTGGAACCTGTTCATCGTGGTGTGCTCGATCCCGAGTCTCATCCTGGCCGTGTGGCTTTGCTTCTTCCCCGAGAGCCCCAAGTTCCTCCTCGAGTGCGGAGAGCACGAGAAAGCCCTCGACGTCCTCAGGCACGTCTTCTCCGTCAACACCGGAGTCCCTCCCGATGAATTCCCGGTAATTCTTCCTACCGATATCTAAAACTCCCGTGCTCAGGAAGAACACCGTATGAGTATTCGAATGTTGCCAAATTTCCTCTCCGAAAATATTTATTTTTGGGAGAGGTTATGAATATTCTGCCTTGAAATTTTCAGACTTTGTAGAGCAAATGGAGAATTTGCAGGTGCACTGAAAAAAATAATATCGTCACCTTCCAGGCAAAGTATCACAAGCGCCATGCGACGTTTAAAAATTTCCGCCGCCATTTTATTTTTTTACCGAGAAATCGTTCAACGAAGCTGTCCGAAAATTTCACTGAATTTTCTTTGTGCTGCCGATAAAATTTAGTGAAATTTCCAAACAGATTCAACCAACAATTTCTCAGTAAAGAAATAAAATGGCTGCGGAAATTTTTAAACGTCGCATGGCGCTTGTGATACTTTGCCTGGAAGGTGACAATATGCTGTTTTAGCATCTAGGATGTCAAAAATGTGCCTGGTAATCCCAAGATGCTGCCTTTACTGCCCCCGCAGTTGACTTTACATCCTGTGAATGCAAATTCAATTGCGTGGGCAATCAAAATAGCATCTTAGGATCACCAGACACGGTTTTGACATTCTAGGTGTTGAGACAGCGTACCAATTTTTTCAGTGTGTCTGAAATTTTGTAAATTTCATCTTTAAGATGAGACTACTAGGAACTCTGATTACGAGGATATCCTTGGTTTCTAAATAGAACAATTATTGGAGAAGATATGACAAAATAACCTAATTTGCTAAAATACATGTGTTTAAATGGAAAATGCCGCCAGATGACGTCATATCGCCTCACACTTTCTCGCTTTTAAATCGATTACTCTCCAATTCCCCATGTTAGAAAAATATTATGAAAATACTGCGAACTCAGCTCATACAGCACTTTTAGATGAAGCAATGAAATTTTAGTGTGCATTTTTCCCATTACGGACAAAATCATCTGAAAAATCAGAAGAGCAAGATTTGCTAATTTTCCTGATAATTCGTGATATTTCTAAGACAATTTGGCAACGCCTGATGGCTCATACGGCGTTTTTCCTGCGTACGGCAGAAGAGGCTTATCAGATAGAGAGAGGGAGCTTTTAGAATTTGACGTTACGAAAGCCGGGAGGCACCATTTACATTAACGATAAGCTTCTTTAGAAAGAGCCTGTTCGTTGTAAGGATGGATTTGACTTGAATTTAGTCGTATGCCGCCACGTGTTAAGGGAGAACGCAGTATGAACATTCTTCAGTTGACAACTTTTTTTCGGAAAAATCATGTATTTATGAGGGCAATTCTGCTTATTTTCTCTCAAAATTTTCAGATATTTTAGATTTACTTATAAACAAAATTGTCTGAGAGTTTTGAAGATATATATTCACAAGTTTCTCAGTGAATTCGATTTTTACGAGGGGAAATATGACAGCTACTGAGGGCTCTCACGCCGTTCTACCTTCATCTCGCAATAAGGATCCATGTAATGTCGAAGCTTCAAACACGCATTTCTGGAAATAGCTAAGACTGCACTTGTGCGCCTTGTCCTCCAAGCCCCTCAATTCGTAGGTGAGCCCTTTGATGAGTTGAAAACTGTAAGTTGAATTCTCTCCGCGTAAACCTCAGGCAGATAGGGCATTTTTCTGATTCTTTCCGCGAACGAAAATTGTGTGCCCCCAATAATACAATGATGATTAGAACTAAACCGATTTTATCGCTTACGATTACACTATTGTACTAGTTTAATTCCATGTAAATCGTGAGTTCATGACGTCAGACTGGGAATAGTCAGTATAGAAGGCTATATATAGATATAGAAGGCTCTGGATCGTGTTCAACAATCGCACTCGGACTTCAGACAAAAGTGTTCAAAGGCTAGCACAATGCTAATCACATAATCAATACTTACCGGAGAAAGAGATTTTCAGTGCCGAGGCGTGAATGATCGAGTATCGTTATTTCCCCATTTGAGGCTATGGTAAAGAATCGATTATTAAGGTGTTCGTTGCAAACATCATGTTGATCGATCCTTTTCCATAGGTTCAAATGGCGGATCAATCGATAGATCGCAAAGCATGCCACGCCACTGGATGTTCCCGATGAGGTCTAACTTGGATGGGTTCATCGCAAGCGAGCCCATCACAGAAGTTCTCGCCAAAATGAGTCCATGCTTGGACCCTTTGATTCCTCCCAGGACGGAACCACGATTGATGGGATTAATTGGGGGGAGTGCATCGGGGGAGGGGGCGGAGCACTGGGAGAGGGTGGTCTCTAAAGTTTCAAAATTACAAGAATGTTTGCAAAAGCTCGCTTTGTCTCCCTTTCAAGGCTGTCGACACTCCAAATGCGCATTGTTGTCGGATTATGATGGGTGTGTTGCAAAAATGAGATTCACAGCCAACCGAGTAAACGCCATGTTAGTAAAATCGCGTTAAGCTTATCACAAATATCTTAAATCCACTCCGTCCCTAAATAATTGTCTGAAATAAATTAATAATAATTATAAATAGGTAACAATTATAATAATAATTTATAATTGTTTGCAATGCGATTTGATCAGAGAACGTATCGCAAGTCTATCGACGTCGATCTATTGCAATATTACTTGCCGGATAAAAAAATTGTTATTGCTTATGATTTCATCACATAAATTCGCCTTAAAATCACGATATTATCGATGGAGATTTATCGTAATATTATCGAACAAAAATTCGTGATAAATTGAGATCAAATTGCGATTTTATCGAACGTAATTTATCTTTAAAGGATGGAAGTAAATTTTCTGTATTTTCATATTTATGCGTGTAAAGATTCCATATCGGCAACAATGCCCAAAAGCAACTTGACTTAATTATTTTGCCGCAGTGTCACTCAACCTAAAGTCGCATAANGGGGGGGGGGGGGGTTAGATACTTGATGCGAGTTGGCAATTAATCACTTTCTATTCTGTTTCCTTTAATTACGAAAAATATAGGTCATTTATTCTGCTTTTAACAAAGTTTCACTAATTTGAGGAGAGAATGCTGAAGAATTAGAATTTTAAGGAATTGCTGGGTAATAATATGCGCGTCTAAAATTTTACTGCAAGGCATACCTATTCATCAGCTGAAAGTTTTATTTCAAGAATATACATCATGCTAATTCGATACGTTTGTGGTGCGTTAGGTCGTCAGGTCAACTCTATCCACACCAAAGCATTGCAAGAGATACCATGTAAAATTTAAGAAGGAAAAGAAAAGGAACAGATAAGAGAAGGAAACGAAAGGAAAGGAAAGAAAAACCATCTGAGGTTTAACATTTCTTAAATAGCGGCAATTCTCCAGTCCGTTGAATGATATCTGATGGAATCTAAAAGGAGTTTGTCAAAAATGATTTGGCATCTAGTCTGTCAAAAATTTGTCTTATGGGACATAAGGCATAGTCCATAAGGAGAGGATAGCAATGAAGGGTCCGTTTGTCTCTCCAGCCTGATTATTGAACTTAATAGACAAAGCTATAGACAAAGAATACAAAAGGGATATGGAGGGATCCTATAGGTGGATTGGTGGTTGCAATGGACAAAGAGGGTAGATAAAATAGACTAACTAACGGCAACCCACGGGAGATCCTATAGTTAGTCCATGATTACAGGAGCCAGCTATTTCAACCAATACCATAGATCCATACTCCCTACGTCTTCTTTATCCATCGCTTTGTCTATCAGTTTCAACAATCAGCCCCCTGCGGGCCGATTATTGAAATTTATAGATAAAGCTATAGACAAAGAAGACATAAGAAGTATAGGACGATTCTTTTGGTCGAAATGGGTAGTTCCTCATAGACTGAGGGGGTAAATGATGGACTAACTATCGGGTCCCTCGTGGGTTGCCGTTGGTTAGTCTATTACCTACGTCCTTCGTCCATTGCAACGACCCGCTTCCACCAATAGGATCCCTCCATATCCTTTTTGTCCTCTTTGTCTATTGCTTTGTCTATCAAGGTCAACAATCAGCCCTCTGGTTGGGAGTCGCTGTCTTAGATACTTCCGCTCCAACAACTTGGGCGTTTTTGCAGCGCACTAAGCACGCGCAACGATGACCCTAAGCAAGCTATCTAACCTTACATGCTATTCCCGCGGCACCGACGAATCCTT